ACCCCCATGCCCAGCTTGAACTCACATTTTTCTATTTCAGATGAGATTGCTGTGTTCAGGATGATACATAAATGACACTTTTCAACTTCAAAGTTTTTACATATCTATAGTAATCAAGACAAGTGGGACAAACATAAGAAAAGACCTACACATACATCCTGTGGAACTGAGACCTAAGAAATAAACCCTAACCTTTATTGTCAAATGATATTTAACAAGAAGTAAAATCAACTCTTTCAGGGAAAAATAGTCTCTTGAACAAACTAATGCTGGGATAATTGAACATTCACAAAGAAAAGATGAAAATGACCCCTCCCTCAGCCATGCACCCATTGTCACTCAAGCCAGGAGCTGGAGAAACGGCACAGCAGTTAGCAGCACACACGGCTCTTACAGAGGATCTGGTTCAGTGCTCAGCATCTCACAAATGCCTCCAGTTCCAGAAGACCCAATGTCCTCTTTTAGATCCACAGACATACACATATACATACAATTATAAAGCTGATATAAATATTGAAAGAAAAAACAAAGTATAACAAAAACATTAATAATGGATTTAAATATTAGAACAAAGCAAATGACCACACTCAAGAAAATGTAGATAGGGATGGACAGTGGTGGCACGCCTTTGATCTCGGCACTCGGGAGGCAGAAGCAGGTGCATCTCAGTTGAGTTCAAGGCCACCGTGCTCTACAGAGAGAGTTCCAGGACAGCTATGGCTACACAGAGAAACCTTATCTTGAAGGAAGGAAGAAAAGAAGGAAGGAAGAGAGGGAGGGAGGGAGGGAGGGAGGGAGGGAGGAAAAGAAAAAAGGAAAGAGGGAGGAAGGGAGGAATGGAGAGGGGAGAGAGAGAGAGAGAGAGAGAGAGAGAGAGAGAGAGAAGGTAAATGGAAGCCCCTACAATCTTGGGTTAGTGGATGACTCTCTAAATATGACATCCAAGGCACAAATGATAAAGAGGTCTGATTGGTGGAATTTCACCACAAAGTAAGAACTTCACACTTCAAAGTGCAGCCGCAAGAAAAAGAAGAGACAGTCACAGATGTGGAGAAGATATTCACAAATCCTACTGACTATGAGGGACTTGTATTTGGAATGCTTGAAGAACGCTTCCTTCGTTAATAAAAAGTAATTTTAAAACAGGCCAAGGATGTAAATCGACATTTCGGCAAAGACATATGAATGACACATGAGAAGCTCAACATCACTAGTCGAAGGAGAAATGCAAATCAAAACCACAACGAGATGCTATTTCACATCCACTACAAAAGAAATTATCAAAAGAGTAACCATATTAGCAATGGTGCAGATAAGTTAGAGCCCTTGTTGTGTACTGGGGAAAGTCTAACGTGGTGCCTTCACTTCAAAAAAATCGCTTTAAAGTTCCTAAACAGCTAAACCCTCAGTTACTATGCAATTACTCAGTTACTTGGTAATGTGCTAATGGTGCAGACCCTCAAAAAGTGAAAACAGGAGTTCATGTTTAAAAACTATACACCTGCTCAGTCACTCAAGAGTAGGAGGAGCCAAGTACCCATCAACTAATGAATGAATAAACAAAACCTGGTTTACCTATATAGTGAAATATTATTGGCAATAAAATACTGGCAGGCATTACAATATGAATTCTCAAAAGCATTGTACTAAGTGAAAACAATTAGTTGCAACAGAATCAAAAAAAAAAAAAACTCCTTTAGGTTATATTATGACGCTTACCTGAAATGCCCAGAACAGACAAATCTATGGAGACAGAAAGTAGATTAGAGGGGACCTGATGGAGCATAAAGGGTTCGTGGGGAAAATAAAAATTTCTTACAGTCAGATTATAATGGTGACTACACAACTCTGGAAGAATGCATTAAATGAGGGGCATAACAGTGCATGAATTACAGCTTACCAAGCAATTAAAAGCCAACCTAAATGGAGAAACCATGACCACAGTTATTTAGAGTCAGGGACCAGCCCAGTCATAAACCATTTCTCATACCGGAGTGGAGGCGTGGAAAGAAAACACAATTCACACGACTGTATCGGGAGGGAGTTTCAGTAATCCTTCAAGAAATCCTGAATCCACATCCTGAAAATCACCCGGTTTATTCTCCAAACAGCTTTTATATCAAAATATAAACTGAGGGGGAAGTTCATTAGCATTCTCTTTCCTAGGTTGTGGTTGGGGGGGGGTTACTTAGGTCATGTCTTTCCTATCTATGACTAGTTTGTCACATAGACTGAAAAACACCTCCTAAGTTACAATAGAAGGAGCAGAATGACATTAGCATATCCTAACCACTTGCTTAGGGTGGCATCAGGCTGTCTCACTATCAAAAGGCTAGGTGACCACCTTCTGTGTGGCAGGTGCAAATTGTGCCTTGAAGGTCACTCAGAATTCTGACCACCAGACAATGTAAGAACATAGGCCTATAGGCCTGTATAATTCCGGCCCTACAATTTAGAAACAAAATTAACACTGTCTCCTTTATCACTTGATGCAAGTGTGACTTTGAAAAAAAAAAAGTGAGAAGAGAACTCTTTGCCAAAACCAGAAACATGGTGTCTCACTGCTGTTACTGAAAATGATAAACCCTGGTACACTCTGAGAAAAAAGAACCACAGGTGTCTCAGCAGAGGTCCTTTCTAACATCACTCACTGGGTCTGAAGTCACGAGAGTGTTAACTGTGGGGCTGTGTGGTTTAACATCAGTTGTCCTAGTGAAACATATGACTATGGGCCTCACTGTCAAGACCACTTCCTCCGCTCAGACAGAGAGCTCAAGACATTCTTCTAGAAACCGAGTCAGCACTGTCCTCCCAAGACTGGACATGTGTTCTGTCTGTTTTAGGAAAGCAACATATCCCAGTGTTAGGACGAAACACTCTAGCTTCTGCTTTCCTTTGAAACGAAGGCAGGTATGTTCAGCGAGTCCAATTTTATCCCAGGCTTTTTCAGACCCAGGCCAGCTGGCCTTGGTGAGTTCCTGATAGAACATCCCCATTGTCTAAGTGTGTGGGTGCACCCCTCGCGGTCCTGAGTTCCTTGCTCATGCTCTCTCTCCTTCGGCTCCTGATTTGGACCTTGAGATTTCTGTCCGGTGCTCCAATGTGGGTCTCTGTCTCCTTTCATCGCCTGATGAAGGTTAATATTCAGGAGGATGCATATATATATATGAGCCTGGTGCGCCTGGGATAAAACCAGACTCGCTGAACATAGCGGACAATGAGGACTACTGAGAACTCAAGAACAATGGCAATGGGTTTTTGATCCTACTGCACGTACTGGCTTTGTGGGAGCCTAGGCAGTTTGGATGCTCACCTTACTAGATCTGGATGGAGGTGGGTGGTCCTTGGACTTCCCACAGGGCAGGAAACCCTGATTGCTCTTTGGGCTGACAAGGGAGGGGGACTTGATTAGGGGAGGGGGAGGGAAATGGGAGGCGGTGGCGGGGAAGAGACAGAAATCTTTAATAAATAAATAAAAAATAAAATAAATGAAACGAAGGCAGGAACTTCTGTTTGTAAATCTTCCTCTGCACCTCCACTTAGGTTTTTCTTATCAACCCTTAAAACCCAAGAAAATAGCTAAAAAGAAATGTGTCTGGTGACCAATTTTAGGACATTTTTTTAAAACTCTGTGTGTGTGTGTGTGTGTGTGTGTGTGTGTGTGTGTGTGTGTGTGTGTGAAGAGATGGGAGGTTGACCCTGGTCATCTTCCTCAAGCACTTCCCACTATTCTTTGAGACAGGGTCTCTTACTAAACCTACAGCTACATCTCCCTGTCTTCCTTTCCAGTTCTGGGATTACGGGCACCCACTGTTGCACCCAGACTGTTAAGTACATTCTGGGGGTCCATGCTTGAGTCCACGTGTTTATATGACAAGTACTTGACCATCTGGTGCACCTCCCTGACACCTAAAACTCCACCTCCTCCCCACAATGCTCCCCTTCCAGTCCCTCTCACTCATCCCCCTCCTGCCACCCCGCATTCCCTTCCACTTCAGCCTCCATCCAGAAAAGTGCAGGTCTCCTATGAGTGTCAATAAAATGTAGCACCTCCCTTTAAGACTGGACCTATTAAGGCTGGACAGGAGATCCAGTGTGAGAAGAAGGGTCCCAAAAGCCAGTAAAAGAGTCAGAGACCACCCCTGTTCCTACTATTAGGAGTCCCAAACTCCACAACTGTAGCATTTAAACAGAGAGCCTAGGTTAGTCTCATGCATGCTCCCTGGTTGTGGTTCAGTCTCTGTGAGCCCCTATGAGCCCAGATTAGTTGATTGTGCATGAGCCTTACCATGGCGTCCTTGACCCATCTGGATGCTACACTCTTTCCTCCTCCTCTTCCTCCACAGGATTCCTGAAGTCCACCTAATGTGCCTGCAGGTCTCTGTACCTGCCTCCATCTGTTAGTAGATGAGGCCTCTCTGATGACAATCTGGTCACAGGAGAGGCTAGTTCAGGCTACTTATCCGCTATTGCTAGGAGTCTAAACTGGGGTCCTCCGCATACACTCCTGGAAGATTCCCCTGAGCCAGGCCTCCGTTCAACCCCCAAAATGCCCCCTCTCAGTACATCCCCCCCAACCCCATGCCTTCCCTATCTGATCGCTCATGTAAAACTCTGGTTTTAAAGTTTTCAAAGGGCTTCTACTAATCGATACTGACAATAATATTGCTGGTGACGAGACTATTCCAACCGAGTCATTTCTAGTCCCTTCTTATGAACTATATTCTAACGGCAACAAGGTTCCCTTCCCCTCAACTATCAGGTAGGAGGACAGGGCCCTCCCCACCCCTCAGCATTCACACAGTCAAACACGCACATCCTCCTCCCCATTCCCCAGCCCCTCCCCACCCCTGATGAGGGATCATGTCTGCTTTCCTCTTGTTTAGTTTCATTTTCCAACTCTACACCTAGAAATTTGAAAGAGAAGAAGTGAAACCACATCCTTTGTACTCTCATATATATAGTGGAAAGAAACAAACACAGAGTTCCCTGTTGATTGATGTGGGGAGAGCCGCAATGAAGACCTTCTGTGCTCCCTGGGTGTCTTCTCTTGCTGCTGTTGTTCTCCTTCTGCTAATTCCTGAAGGTAAGACAGGCTCATGATATTTCCATCATAACCATTATAGAGTGGATTTTCGTGATGCCTTAACAATGGTGCCTTATTTATAATATTATTATAATAGTTATTTATAGAATACCCAAAGCTTGGGGATAGTCAGCATTTGCCTTATAATCAAATTCATTTTAGAAGAAAAAATATTTATTTGTAATTTCTTTCCAAAGATTAACAAAACCACCAATTGGTGGTGGCTGCCAATTTATAGCTTAAATTTTGCTTTAAAAGATAATGAGAGGGCTGGAGAGATGGCTCAGTGGTTAAGAGCATTGCCTGCTCTTCCAGAGGTCCTGAGTTCAATTCCCGGCAACCACATGGTGGCTCACAACCATCTGTAATGAGGTCTGGTGCCCTCTTCTGGCCTGCAGACATATACACAGACAGAATATTGTATGCATAATAAATAAATAAATATTTTTAAAAAAAAGATAATGAGAAAATGAGCAAACAAATGAATGAAATACCCTTGAGTTGGGAAATCAAGCTCTAGCTTTCAAGGAAGGAGGTAGTGGTGGGGCTTCTGTTCTTTCTCCAGTATTATTCAGACAGCTTTGAAAGGTTAAGCTGAGTCAGAGCTAGACATTGGCAGAAGCCAATGAGGACTGGTAGGTGCTTCTCGCTAGTTCTCTTTGTTAAGAGTTTGCCTGACAAGTCTTCGGGACTCTGAGGAATACTTCTCACTGATTCCTCAGGAGAACTGTATTTTCTTTTTGGCTGCTCCTTCCACTTAGTAAGTAGTGACCAATATTCCTGTCTGAGTGGACGCACCATGCACCCTTGGGGACGCCATCGCATCTCTTGCCCTAACACTGGGAGAGCTTCTCCAGGTTCCCTGAAGAACCCGCCAGGAGAAAATGGGGAGAAAGGGAGGAAATAGCTGGCAAACACAGAGGCAGCCATGATTTCTCCTAGGACCCATAAGCTTTTAGAGGTAGAAGTGGAGGGCAGGAAGTCCAAAAGAAGTTCCAGATGCAGTCTTATACCCAGCAATGAAGGGAATTTTAAAACAAGGTTGAAGATGTTTGGGAACAAAACTGGTCACAAGACCAGCACAGCACAGCCCACAGTCAGAGAGCACTCAGTGATATTAAATCTCCCAAACCATGAGATTAAAGCAGATTTTCTTTTTCTCTCTTTCTTTCTAATCGAATTTTGTCTTTTTAAATCCAATTATATATATTCTTCAAGGGAAAGCATAAAAGCAGCTTTTTTCCTATTATACTTTGTTTTCTGTGTTCAGAAATAGCTGTGTGGACCCAAAAAGGGAAGAAACAAGAAAGCAGTGCTTCGTATTTGGGACTAGTCGGAATAATCTGGAAGACTTTTTAAACACAGAGTCTGAACATTACAGAGCTCCTGCCTCAGGCATTCTCCTAAGTCTGATTCTAAGTGGGGGCGCTTTGGTGGTCTTTAAACTCTTTCCCCTGCTCGCACCCTTACCACACACCTTTTCAAGTCTGGTTAGTGGCAGACCTGGCCTTGTGCTCAGGTGAGTACTCAGACACAAAGCTTTACCAAAGAGAATGCTCTCGAATTCACGATCCCTGGTGTCCACAGACACTCCTTTGTAGTCTAGCTTTGTAAGAGTCACCCCAAGGAAACTTGGGATGAAGCCAAACTCTTTTGGTTCTGTATAAGTCTATTTCTAGAGCCTAAAATTCTGCCTTCCCTGTCCCCTTACGGAAAGTGGGTCGTGTACCTTCTTTCCCTGACTCTCGCCCTCCTCAACCTGATAAGAAGCTCCAGGCCTATCACTGACACTTGTGAATTTGGCAATTAGTTTGACTTATTTGTAGAATAAGAAGTGTTGATCCCTACTCAAGAAGCCATAACTCTCGGCCAACAGTCAGAAGGGTTTTAGGAGAATGCACGAATATCTTGTGTAGAAGTTGAAAAAAATGGAAAGTCTGCCCCAAGGACACAAGAGCCTCTCCACTGTCGTGCGCACTTGCCCTGTGCCTATGTGTGTCTCTGTCTTCTAACCATGTCTACCATCCTGGTCCAGCTCATGCAAGTTTGAATAAGGTAGATTATATAGCTATAGCACCTCTACTCCTTTCCTTTCTACTCATTATAGCTCATTTGGAAAGGGTTTAAACTACAACATGTTTTGTCCGAAGATTGAAGCAGAGCCTCAGGTGTGACCAGTGTTGTCCTCTCCACTGGCGAATGAGAGTAGTGCTCTTCATACCTGAAATCTCACCAAATGAGCCAAGTCTTCATTGATACAATGGGTCTCAGATACAAGGCAGTAACATCAATTTGTATACTGTGTTTTTGCAAGGCCTCTGAGTGAAAGGGGAAAGTAACAAGCTTCTATAATCCATTCCCAATCCTCTTCTCCAGTTAATACTCATCCAGAAGGGAGTAGGGACAGGGAGGGCTACATCGACGCCAGCAACTCCCCCAGAACTGCTAGCGCTATTGACCACTGCACAGCTCTCTGCCCTTGGCAAAGCCTGAGCTCTGAAGCTACAACTATAACAGATTTCCAGCAGAATAGTTTCTGGAACACCAGTGATGGACCTCTATGGATGTGACAGCAGGGACTTCTCAGGAGCCCCAAAGGGCCAAGACATAGGGTCAGACATCGGAAGGTCTGCATAGAGGAAAAGAGGAGGGTAAACACGGGTGATACCAAATTTCCACCAAATTCAAAAGGCATGCCTTGACCCAGAAATATGGCTTTCCTGAGGAGCTATTTGGAGTGGGCACTGACCTGAGTTGCCTTTTTCTATTGACCAGGTGGCTGTGTAAGAATCATTGGAGGAGATACAGTGGTTCCTCATTCAAGACCTTACATGGTCCTACTTAAACTTGGTAAAAAAGGCATCTGCGGTGGCGCTTTGGTTGCAAAAGACTGGGTGTTGACTGCTGCCCATTGTACCACGTAAGTTTTTTGGGTTAAAGTTTTGTAGAAATATTCTAATGAGGAGAAACAATAACAATAAAAAGGCCACATCTCGCTAATACATGGGAAAGTCATTAATTTTGTCATATATAAGTGAAGTCTTTGGCAAGTCACATTGATCTGAAAGGAAGTGAAGCCCAGATTTGTCACAAGGAGCCAAGTCAATGAGAACATAGTGTCTGAGAGCCCTGTCTGAAGGTCCCCACTAAAAAGAAAAAAGAAAAACAGAGATCATAGGCTTGGCGGGCAGAGGAAGGTAGAAGTGGACCTGGGAGGAAGAAGGGGAAGAACGGGAATGAATGCATATGATCAAAATACATCACATAAGATATATTTTTAAAGAAAAGAAAGATAGCCGGGTGGTGGTGGCGCACGCCTTTAATCCCAGCACTCGGGAGGCAGAGGCAGGCCTCTGTGAGTTCGAAGCCAGCCTGGTCTACAAGAGCTATTTCCAGGACAGGAACCAAAAGCTACGGAGAAACCCTGTCTCAAAAAATCAAAAAAAAAAAAAAAAAAAAGAAAGAAAGAAAAGAAAGATAATAAATGGGTTTGTTAAGTGGAATTAAAATCACTTTGGCTATTTTATAAAGGGAGGAGCACTCCCGAGAATGAATAAGCTAGTGAACTGGGATAAGGCAAAAATACCAGTGAGCCACTAGACCCCTGATCCTATGTGGGTCATTACACAGTGCCCATCTCTCCAGTTTCTCTAGAGCATATTCCGTTTGCTTGGTGAAGCCCATGTGGAGAAGGGTTTCTGGTCCTTCCCTGCCAAATGGCTTCTTTCATCTCCAGTGCCTATGCTCCTGCCACAACGCTACATGGGCAATATGAGTTCGATCTAATTGAAGCTAACTAAAATTACAAATTTGCTTCTTTGGTCATGCACCAAAGTCCTAGCAGCTACATGTGGCTTGTGGCTATTGGCCATGAAGTTTATAGAGCATGGTATTATCAGAGCATGCTCTGAAATGTACAGTCATGATATCTTACATGAGACCAGCCTCAGCTGGTACGGTGGAGAAAAGGCAATGTGAAGATTGCTCAGTTTGGTGTATAATGGGCTGTGAATGACAAGAACCATAAGCATAAACACACTGGGAAATACCTGCACCCTGTGTGGCATGCACGTGGGATCCCTGGCTAAGCCCTCTGCTTCTGGAAGCTTTCCTATCTGAGATTGCTCTCTTACAAAGAGATCTGCCAGGAGCTGCTTCCTAGCCACCAGCTGCCTTTGTTTCCTAGCTCTGGATCTCCTGGGAGCTTTGCTTTTCAGGGATTTGCAGCCTAATCCTCTACCACAGCTAGTCTGGGAGAGGAAAGAGTGGAAACAAACCCAAGATTTGGATTTGCTGCCATGAACTTCTCTTATTTGATTTTTCCTTAAGCCTCAGATATCTTGTTATAAATAAGCTGTTGGAGATAACAAGTGTGATGGTTCAAACATCATTTGTCCCCTCAAAAGTTCATTTGCTAGAAGTTTGGTCCTTAGGGTAACCACACTGAGAGGTGATTGGAACTCTTCATAGATCATGGGGGCTCCATTTTGGTGACAGGGTGAATGTAGGCTTCAGAGTTAGTCAGTTGCCATGAAGGGTAGCTTGGTATAAATCAAGCTCAGTTTCTGGTCACTCTGGCTTCCTCTGTCACTCAGATGATCCTCTTCACACATCCTCATCCCTCCTACTTTTCCACCATGAGCTGATGTGTCCTAAGTCCCTCATGAGAAGCCCAACAGATGCTGACACCGAGCTCTTGAACTCTGAAACTGTGAGCCAAAGGAAACCTCCGTTATTTATAACACATCCAGCCCCGGGTGTTTTGTTAAAGCTTCATAAATATAAGACAGAAATGATAACAGATTCATAAAAATCTTACCCTACATGGCAGGCATATTTTTCCAAGCTACAAAATTTCTCCAAAATCAGCATTTACATCAATGATCTATTGAAACTGTTCAACACATATTACAACCAGTTCCTGATTAAACTAATAACTAGTATTGTGTCTATTACAGGAAAACGAGTTACCAGGTCATTCTTGGAGCTCACTCAAAAGACAAGGACGAGCCAGAAAAACAGATATTATCTGTCAAGAAAGCATTTCCGTATCCATGCTTTGACAACCATACACATGAGGGTGATCTGCAGCTTTTGTGGGTATGTATCTTGGGTGGTCTGTTTCAGTCACAGAACCTTCGAAAGTCTCACCACTTACATGAACGTATGTTCCTAGTCCCCCACCTGGTACAAACAAGGGAGACCCACAGGGAGAGGTAAGAAGTTCAAACATTAATATTCATTGCAGTCGGCATTTTCGTTGGGCCACTAACCAGCTCCCAAATAAAGACATGGAGACTAATTATTAATTATGAATGCTCAGCCTTAGCTTATGCTTGTCCCACTAGCTCTTCTAAGTTAATTTAACCTGTTTTTCTTCATCTACATTTTGCCTCCAGGCTTTTTACCTTCCTTTCATCCTGTTTCATTTCATGCATGTCCTACTTTCCTGCTTCCTCTATGTCTGTATGGCTGACCTCCGGTGTCTCCCCGGTGTCTCTTTTTCTTTTTCACTGGAGCCCAAATTCCTCCTCCTACTTACTCTCTCTTCCCAGAAGTCCCACCTATACCTCCTCCCTCGCTGTTGCCTGTTTAACTTTTTATTAGACCAATTGGGTGTGTTAGGCAGGCAAGGTAAAACAGCAACACATCTTTGCATAGCTAAACAAATATTCTGCAACAACTTATCTCGTACTCTTAACTGTTTATGTTTGTCTTCCTACAGCTAAACAAAAAAGCAACAATTAACAAAAATGTGGCTATCCTTGCCCTGCCTGAAAAGGGGGATGATGTGAAACCAGGAACCAGATGCCAAGTTGCAGGATGGGGGAGAGTTAATAATAATAATAAATCACCTCCCTCTGAAACTCTGAGAGAAGTCAACATTACTGTCATAGACAGAAAGATCTGCAATGATAAAAAGCACTACAATTTTAATCCTGTAATTGGACTGAATATGATTTGTGCAGGAAACCTCCATGGTGGAAAGGACTCATGCGAAGTAAGTGAGAGTGTGTTAGCTGTTGGAGCAAGGCACATGAGTGTAAGTGGTGTGAGGTTAAGCTTGGTCTCCTCAGGGCATTGGATTCTACAGTTTCCTACTCTGCTGAGACAGGGAGTCTCACTATATAGCTCTGGCTGTCCTGGAACTCACTACATAGATCAGGCTGGACTGGAACGCACAGAGATCCGCCTGCCTGTTTCTCCCAAGTGCTGGAATTAAAGGCCTCTAGCACCACATCCAGCCTTCTACTGTGCTTTCTGAAATTGGATAAGATCTAGGTGGATATAATCCCAGAGAACCTAGACAACAATGAGGACCCTAAGATCCATGGATCTAATCTACATGGGAAGTAGAAAAAGACAAGATCTCCTGAGTAAATTGGGAGCATGGGGACCATGGGAGAGGGTTGAAGGGGAGGGGAGGGGCAGGGAGGACAGTGGAGAAAAATGCAGAGCTCAATAAAATCAATTTTAAAAAAAGATATAGGTGAATAAAATTCCAAATTCTCAATTCCAAAGAGTCAGTAAAAGTAATCATCCACTACTAGAAAAGGACCATGGGTGACCTACTACATTGACTTTGTTTCATAGATTAAGAAACAAAACAAATAAAACACTTAGAAGAAATGGTGGGGATATTTCTCAGTCTTCATGTTACCATATACAGAGACTAACAAGATACATAAAATTCTAAAGAGCTGTCTTTCTTACTTCACCACAACCCCAAAAAAGCTAAACTACCTTTGATGTGGACATGTTTAAAATGTCAGCCACTCCCAAACCTAGCCAGGAACCTGGGACTAGAGTAAACAATTCTAGGCATGACCCTCACCAGAGACTGTATAAGCCTTCCTCCCAGTGTCTCCCAAAACATGAGGGACAGGGCCTGATTAAAGACAAGAATTAAAAAGAATACTTTGCAAATTTTTAAACCCTCACTTCTAACTTGTTGGTTCTCGCCTTTCCCCAAGACTCCAAAGAATCTCCCTAGGTGAGGACAGTGTGTCTATCATCAGTCAGAGAAACTAAGCCTTGTCTTCAGGACTGTGGTTGGTCAAATGCCAAGAAGAAATGGCATCTGTCCTTAACACCTTTCTTCTTTTTACTTGACCCTCCCCTACTCATTGCCTCCCACGCCCTCCACTTAAGGCACCCAGAAACCTGACTTTTCCTCTTGGGGAATCTCATACAATACCCTGTGGCCACAGCAGCATCCCAGGACGCCCCTCCCCTGGGATCAGTCCCTGTACCCACAGAGGCTCAGCTGTGTTTCCCTGTTTTCTCAATGCCCTAGGCTGGCTGCTGAGGAATCCAGTCTACCGGGCTGAATCTACACATTCCTGGTGCTATAACAGGGAATGTATCTCAGCAGAGATGGCCACAGTTCTCATGTGATCCATTATTTCATACAGATATCAAACCAGCCTTTCTCTGAAAGGAGCAATTCAGTTTTCTTTCTTTGGGAAAATAGTTATCTGTGAGAGGAACTAGAAAACATGACAGTTACTCTTTACTTAAAAGTATTATCTGTGTTTGCCTGTTTCACTCTTTGTTGAAAAATTGATCAAGAGGGATGGCTTTCTGAAAAAAGGCAACTAATCTTAAAATCAGTAGCTGAAATATATAATACAACTTTCCTTACAGTTTTCAATAATCTATAAATATTAAAATATTACTAAGTGTCCTGGTGTTTTAAGCAATAATTTTCAGTGAAGTCTGGGCTCTTCATACTAAGCGCTACAGAACTTCTTCATAACCAAAAGCTAATCTCACCTCATTCTGCCCTCTTCTTTCTCCAGGGAGATTCTGGAAGCCCTCTGGTGTGTGGCGGTATTTTCCGAGGCATCACAGCTTTTGGCCTTAGTGGGAAATGTGGAGCTCGCCAAGGGCCTGGCATCTATACTTCTCTTTCACAGAAGCATCTCTCATGGATAAAGAAGACTATGAAGGGCGCAGTTTAGATGCATGAATTTCATTTCATCTGCTGTCACTTCTGCATCTAGTCACAAATAAAATCAATTGAATGACTGCATGCTCTTCTCTCTTGCAATGCTCTTGGTCAGTTCTCCATCTGCAAAACCAAGAGTTGGAAGGCAATGACTTAGATGATGCAGGAGGGAGATTAGAAAACCAGGGCCACTGGTGTCCCTTGTGTGTCCAGGGACAGGGTAATTTCTCCCTGGAGAATGCACTTTGCTCTCATTAGCTCTGTCTGACAGCAAGCATAGTGAAGGGTTCAGGCATTCTGAACTGCTCCAGCATGTGGAAATGAGAAGGAAAAGGCCTAGCTCCCACTGCTACACCTCCACACCACTATTCTTGTTTATATGCAAGAACCGCAGACACAGGTATCAGAAATGACTCAAGGGTGAATTCCCTAGGCAGATGTGCTTTGCTTCTTGGCCTTTGAGCTAAGATGACACATAACGCCAAAGGCTGAAGTTGAACAGAATTAGAGTTCTAGGTGATATAAATGAAATGCCTGGCCAGCCAAGAAAAGGACATAGCAGAAAGTCAGCCTGCTCCTTGGTAGTTTTCATTTCAGCCTTGGATTATCTACATGATCTCTTGATTCCCCTTGTCTGTCACCAACATGGTGGTCACAGTGTTTGGCATGCTCTCATGGAGTAGTGAACTGTGATCAAAACATTTTCTTGAAAAACAAAATGCCCCATGTTTGCTCGGCATTTTTAATTTAGTCGACAGTCATCATCCCAGCGGCCATATTGAGGTGGGATCATGGGACCAAATTCCTTCAATTTCCACTAGAAATATTTATCTGTATGTAATTATGCATGTATGTATGCAGATACATACACAGTTCCTGTCCAATCCAAAAACATACACTAAGAGTCAACTCTTGAAGCCAATGAAGAAGCAAAACTCAAGCTGATTAAAACACTAGTCACAGGCTTTCAGGGACGGTTGCCCAGCAGACCCACCAGCCTATCCAGAATCACCATTGCCCAGGACCCCACCTCTAGAGAGTCAATTAATATTGCTGAAACCCAGAACATGGGGTGATGGAGGAAGGTCATTGGCTAATAAAGGAACTGCCTTGGCCCATTTTATTGGTTAGAGGATAGGTGGGAGGAGTAAACAGAACAGAACGCTGGGAGGAAGAGGAAGTGAGCTCAGTCTGGACAGCTCTCCTCTCTGGAGCAGATGCCTGAGAGAGACACTCCCGGGATGAAGCTCCGACCCAGGATGGACTAGGCTAGAATCTTCCCGGTAAGACCGGTTCTCACAGATTATTAGTGATAGGTTGATCGGGATATCAGAATTAGCCAGTAAGGGCTAGAGCTAAAGGGCCAAGCAGTGTTAAAATGAATACAGTTTGTGTGTTGTTATTTCGGGCATAAGCTAGCCATGCAGGCGGCCGGGTGCTGGGGACGCAGCCCCGCCGCCTTAATACTACAATGGGGTTTCTTACATTAGCAGCCCAATAAGGTTGATAACGCCCAAGGACCAGACTTCCTGAACTACAAAGTGAGTTTTCTAGTAGAGGGGTTCTGAGCTGATATTTTTGATATGTCATAATCTTTAATATGAATTTAGGATTTTAATTACAAAAATATAGACTATTCTCTACTGGACTCCATTTTTTTGAAACCAGACCGTTTATTTTATGACCGCTTGAAGTCCCTAAAATGAATTTGATGCTGTAACAGCTGCCCTCTTGGGTTAGCTGTTTGTTAACCTTCATACACTCCATGTCTGAATCTCCAATAGACAATCTTTAGGTGCCTCATCCACCCAGTTCCAATAGTGTTTCTTCTCTTAGCCTGGGATAGTGTGCCAGCTATACTTCCTGTTGCTCTTGGCAGGGTAGCCACAGTTGCCATAGGTAGACTTGTGAAGGTGATAGGCCTTAGAGCCACAGTGTTGGCACAGCGTGTGCGTCTTATTGAGACACTTTCCAAAGGATGGCGTTCCTTTCATTGTCTTGCTTCTGCTGCCAAGGCCAAACAGACAGAAAAAAACCCATATTCCATTTTTTAAATTGTTGACTCAAGCCCTCATGCATTGCTAGTTGAAGAACAGATGTGCCTTTCTTCCTGCAAAAGTTGCTAGTATCTATTGGAGATGAATCTGTTTATATTTTATAATCTGGCAATTCCACTCGAGTATATACCAAACTAAAATGAGTGTTTTGTCCACCAAAGATATATTCAGTAATGTACATACCAGATTAAGTCTAAAACCCAAAATTGTAAATAATGTAAATATCCATTTCTGATAAGATAAACAAGTTTATATTTATACGGCAAGATAGACAGCAGTTGAAAAGAACGCTGTAGTCTCATGTAACACACATGTTATTGCGTGATTCCACCTAGCTGAAGATAGGCACAAGTAAAAACCAGTCCATCATGACATAAATCAGAATATAGAGGCTGTTCGCTGACAGTATGCAACCAGGAATGTTCATACCTTAAACTGGATAGAGCTTACTGTTATCTATTCATGAACTAAAAAATTTATCCAGCTATCCAATAAGGATTGATATACATGAAGCTTTGTGTTATAAAAACCAGTTGTAATCAAAGGTTCTATTTTGTGTGTCATATAGACTTTTTCTGATTTCTTTATAAAAATCATATCCCAAACTTTCTGCTAAAGATATAGATATACATTGACATTTTTCTCAAATGAGGCCCCATTGCTCACATACCAATATTAATTGTAGAAATGACCGTTGATCATGGCAGTTAAAACAGAAAACCTGAAATAGAATGACGGAGGACACTTGAAACTATTTAATGTGTGTGTGTGTGTAGCGGCGTAAACAAATGCAGACAGATTGTAAAAATATATATAGTTTTAATGTAGAAATAGACTTACAGAACCACCGTTCCCGCGGAGACCAGGAAAGCAGAAGAGATGGCTGGGAGCACGCTCACCAAATTTATAGGCAGACATTAGCCCAAGGCGAACACGCCCCCCAAGGGGCGGGACTTATCCCTACGTGTGTGTGTGTGTGTGTGTGTGTGTGTGTGTGTGTGTGTGTGTAAGAGAGAGAAAGAGAGAGAAAAGAAGAAGAAGAAGGAGAAGGAGAAGAAGAAGAAGAAGAAGAAGAAGAAGAAGAAGAAGAAGAAAACAAACATTATGTGTAGAAAAAATTAGAAGCAAAGATCAAGAATTCCAAAGGACCAGCAAAGCTCCAGCACGGGAGCCATACAGCAGATGTGCAGAGATTGCCAGAGGCTGCTTACTGACTTGCCCCATGGCTTGCTCAGTCTGCTTTCCTATAAAACCAGACCCAGAGGTGGTGACACCATAGTGAGCTGGTCCCCCCACAACAGTCATCAATCAAGACAATGCCCTACAGGCTTGCCTACAGGACAATCTCCGCAAATGAGGCTCCCTCTCCTCGAGATGACTCTAGTTATTGTAAGTTCACACACACACACACACACACACACACACACACACACAAACCCAGCACAACGACTTGCTATAAGTGGCCTCCTGTTTCTGTCTTGGCCTCTTGTGTCTCCTGCCCTTCTTCTGTCTTTTGCCCTAGGATGGTATAGTGGAAAAATCCTTATTCAGTGCCAGGACACCAGCAAGCTCCCATACCATGAGCTAAATAAATGTTCAGTTACTCTGTCTTGGGTATTCTGTTACAGCAACAGAAAACAGGCTAAGACTGGAGAAAAGAGGATCTGACTAGAGAGCGAATTTTGAGAAAAAGTATTATTCATGCTTATTACAGCACACAGCATATGGCAGGAGGTGAGGGGGCTTTTTCGGATACCTAAGTTCTACCTTGAGTGTACTGAGCTTGAACTAATGACAGGAAAGGAACTCACAAAGGAGAAATGGGAACGACAGTCAGAAATACGTCAGGAGGACTTAGAAAAGCCAGGTAGGAAAGAACAGATTAGAACTCATTTTTACTAAAATAGTGAAAAAATGAATCTTGGAAGAGGAAAGGGCAAAGAAGGCAGATGTTGGGAGCTGCAGATTCCTGGCCCCTTGAATTTCTTTGCTTGCTTTAGACCCTTTGCCTGCTGGAGTGAACTGAGCAGAACACCTGTGCCTGCAGCTGCTCTGAGCCTGATGAGTCTGCAGCTGGAAGATCCCAAGAGCTGGGTGTGGCTGAGGATCCCTGAGCACGATAAAGTTGGCATTCTTGTATCAAGGATGACCCATGTCCTTGTCTCTCTCTCTCTCTCTCTCTCTCTCTCTCTCTCTCTCTCTCTCTATGTGTGTGTTTTTAAGTCTCCAGATTAGTTCCCGGCTTGCATATCGTCTTGTAATGGCACGGGTACTACAGGACCATTCGGCTTTTCACAAGAAGAGGGGGAAAGGAAGGAGGAAGAGGACAGAAGGAGAGGAAGACTGAAGAAAATCAGACCATTTCTGGGCTGTGGGGTAGGAAGACGTGCAAAGATGGCAGACTGAGGAGAATCAAGCAAAGAAGGGTCAACATCATAACTTCCCATCCCAGTGACCCAGGACATCACAGCTTCCCATCCCAGAGACCTAGGACATCATAGCTTCCCATCCCAGTGACCTAGGACATCACAACTTCCGATCCTAGTGACCCAGGACATCAAACTTCCCATCCCAGTGACCTGGGACATCACAATTTCTGATCCCAATGACATAATGGAGAAGTTCTCAGTTATGACTGGCTGGATGACTGGTGGCCCTTCCACACACAAGCGACCCCATCTGAGGCAGCAGAAAACAAGAGGGTGTCTTCTGAACTCAGAACCAGGGGCAGCACTCTGCCTCGGTGACCTGTAGGAGAAAGATGATGCATCTGGCACCAAGTTACAAGGATGGCTACTCAGAACTCAGGTAACCTGAGACAGGATCAGCCTTCCTCCCAGGGTACAGGATTTCCTGTACCAGCCTAGTTCACCAGCGAGGCCATACAGGCCCTTCACCCAGTGCCTGAGGCCTAAGTTTCTTCTCCAGTACTTGCCGAACCTTCACCCTACCCCTTCCCACCCCTACCCTCACTCACCACTACTCCCAGTCACCTTTATTCCCACTCATCCCTATTC